CATCTGTTTCTGACATGATTTGCCGCAACGACCGCTTCGCCCCAGAACGATTGCGATAATCCGGATTCAGCGAGCATGGATCGTGCCATTTCGATGAGGGTCCGATTTTTACGCTCCGCTATGCCGTTTTGCTGGGAAGTGTAAGGTGCGGTCAACCGGCGTCGTATCCCTGATTCCTTCAAGATGCGATCCAATGCGGCATTGTAGAACTCCTTCCCGTTGTCGGACTGAAGCGCTTTAATTTTGGCCCCGGTTTTCGTATCCACTAGATTTTTGTACTCTACGAACCTGGATGTGACTTCTGATTTCTCTCGAAGGAGGTAGATCTCCGTCCAGCGGCTATAGTCGTCCGTGAATGTCAGCATGTATCGGGCACCTCCCTGAGTTCGCGTTCGCATCGGGCCGCAGACGTCCGTGTGCACGACTTCCAACACCGAGGCTGACCGTTTTCCGCCCTTCGGAAACGGAGCAGTCGTGAGTTTTCCGATCGCACAGGCGTCGCAAGAGAGAGGGCCGGCGTTGATCCCGAAGTTGAGACCCATGACAGATTGTTTCGGCATCATCGACACCATGTCCCTCCAATTCAGATGTCCTAGCCGCCGATGCCACTCGTCCGCTTCTCTGTTTTCGTTTTGAACCACGCACGCCGCATTGAGTCCCTCACGCACAAAAAATAGATCGCCTTCACGATCGTCCACAAACTTTACGTTTCCGCACTGGTCCATTACATATGCGCGTTTTTGTGTAAACAAGACGGAGTGCTGTTTGTCCACGATCTTAGCGACCGATATTAAATTCGTACGTAAACTCGGCACATGGTGAGTATTTTGGAGCACTATCGGCTTGTCTTGGTTTCCGTTCGAAGTTATTATACGAACATCACCTTTTGCCGAAACTCGCGCGGTCGCGTCACTGGCCAATCTCACGTCACTGTTCACCTCACATTTATTTTTAAGGGAATGCGAGTCTTTGCACAGGTGCGAAGTGCAACCAGTATCAAGGCACCACCTCAGATTGGCAACTTCGCGACGCGAAAACTCGTTCGAAAGGTTAGCGGCGTCACTCGCGAAAAATAGGTCATTTACGGTATTCGCGCTTTGACCGCCCGTTCTTTTCCTTTTAAAACACTTGGCAGCCTTATGCCCCATCTTTCCGCAAAAATCGCATTTTATGTCTTTTCGCCGGTCCACAGTAGCACGGTCCTTGTTGCTTTGACAGCTCCGGTCGTTCCGTGCATCGCCGCTTGAAGGCGCTCTCGTACCGAGGTGTCGCTGCTTCGCGAACATGACGCCGACAGCGTTCTCGTCGTTTTTGTGCTCTCTGGCGAAACTTTCTTCTATGATTTTTCCCATCAATTTTTCGACGTTCGACAAAGCGTTGTGAGATTTGATGGCACAACAGAAATTGTCGTAACTGTTCGGCAAACTGTGCAGCAGCATTACTGTCAGCAGATCACCGTTAATGTCGATATCCATTTGCTGCAACTTGTCGACGATATCCATGAATCGTGATAGGTAGTCCCTTACGTCGTCACCCTCGTGCATTCTTTGCGATAGCAGCTGTTCCAACAGCGTCGTTTTTCGCGTTGGGCCCTGCGATGCGTAGATGGATTCCAGCTTCGCCCATATATCTCGCGACATTACACAATTGCGGATGTGCTTGAGTTGCGATTAGCTCATTGCGAGGATGAGATCCGATTTGGCCATTCGATCCTCTTCCATCCGTGAGTTGGCTGCCGTTATCGCCGCGGTACGTTCGGCCCCTTGTCCGCATACTTCGTTTGGGTCTGTCTCCTGAGACGTATGTCCAGGTCCCATTGTTGCTTAATAGAGCCTCTACCTGAATCCTCCATGTGTCGTAATTATCCTTGGATAAAAGTTCGATCCCCATCGGGTTATATGCGTTCCCTTGAGCCATCGTGAAAGCACTCGCGCACGTGTTCGTTTTCGACGACGGTAATGGCGTGTAGTCAGGGTTATGTCACTAACCGACGCGTTCGCGATTTTCGTACGCGATCGATAATACTCGTCGATTCTACATTCCTGGGCCTATAACCTGTCAAGGTTGGCTGGAGAGGTTAACGAAATTATCATAAATGAGATAAACATAAAAACGTACTTTAATATATAAAATCGAAACGGTACAAAAGACGCGACATTATCTGTGTAAGGTGTCGCGTATCAGAGAGAAAACGTATGGTGGTGGCGCTCCGCGCGCACCCTAGCGGATGCAAGAATGAATCTTTCCCGGAAGGGCTCAGATTGTGAATTCTATCAGTTTACGAGAAATATTGATCACCGATTTGAAAAATGTAGTTTCGAAAAAAACGCGTTTAAAGTTTCAAGTCAAGCTTACACTTATATAAAATGTTCATTTTTTAACGCCTGTAACTCTGTCATTTTTAATTGGATTACCTTGAAACTTACACAGAATATTCTCGAGATGTACTTAAAGAAAATGTAAAATGTGAAAAATCGATTTTTTGAAAATTTCTGACTGAGCATGACCCCTTAATAGACATGAGAATTGCAGTAAATATTATTCCATTTTGAATAAGGTAGGCACGTTTCTAAACAATTATTTACATGGTCGGATTATTTAAATTTCACAATTAAAGTCGCAGGTAAATTGAAATATTGGTAATTATTATTTAAAATTAAAAGTTTAAATTTTAAAGTAATTATTTCATTTTATATGCGTAGGTGAATTGATTGAAACATCGTTGATTGAATTCAATATTTTGGAACTATTTGAGCCTCACAGCTGACCACAGATAGATTTCTGTCCTCTGGTATCCGAGTCACTGTTGTGTATTACTTTCGGTTGTAGAATAAGTTCAACCAGTGCGATACACGATACCCACGCGTCTAGACGTATTATTTCCAAATGGTTGGTTCAATCCAATAGCGCATTTCGACATTGTCGTATCGAGTGAAGGTTAATTTGATCGTAATTAACTCGTCCGTGATAAATGTCGCAGGAATGACATCTTCTGTTTTAGTTTCGGAGCCATTTACGTACAATTTCTTTTTCCTAGATGTTCAAATGCTTTTGACAATATCATATATTTACTGTTAATACACATTTTTAGTTTATTGTTCCTTTCATAAGTAGATTTCAGTACTCATGATATACATAATCATTAGACACATCAGCACTCTTTGATGGTGTTCTTCTTTCCGCTATTATACAATAAGGACACAGTATTACCTCTCTATCGTACTCAACTCGGAACTGTTAACGCTACTACAGAGACCAGTGGTCACGATTTCCGGTCGTTTCATTGCTTGGAAGCTTGCCTTTCATTTTACCTGCCACTTGCTCATGGTTACATAGTCCCATTGATTATCAGCTATTTTCATGATATGGTAGGGATGGCAATTGTCCTCGGAGTAGTGTATATAATATTTCTTCAAATTAAAATCTAAGTAACAAAAACATAATACTATCAGAACAACCAAAGTATAAAATATTATATATAGGAAATATTAATTGTAATTATTTGTACACTGCTGGATCGGATTAACTACGAAACTCTCTTCAGAAGTTACTTTAGTAGTAGATCTTTTAGCTACTTCCATTTCGTTTAATAGCCGATGAGGTAGGGGAGACCGGGGCAAAGTGGCCCTAAAAAAGTTTAAAGTAGAATAAAATTTTTTCTTTTTAATAAAAATGTGTACGGATAATTTTATAATATAATTTAAACATTACTATTGACAAAGTACGAATAGCAATACTTTAGACAAACTTGAAATATTTAAAAACTCAACTTGAAAACAAAAAGCCATGTATGGGGTAAAGTGAGCTGAAATACAATACGACTTTTAACCCGTAACCGGCGTCGTCTCATTTTTGTATCTTAAATAATTTCACATCGTCAAGCCTACACTTATTTCTTATATACATATACTGGAGTTATATATAATGTTTAATTTTTACTATTTTTAGGAAAGTACGGAAATCTATGTGGCCGATAGACTGTAGAAATAAATGTGACACAAAACAAAAATTTTGCGGGAGTCTCCTAAACTCCACGACACTGGTTACGGGTTAATTAAGGTCATAATTATTAAACTAACTTTATTAGAATTTTGTAAATATTCAAACTATTTTTAAATACAAATTTCACGTTACTACATTTTAATTAGATAAACACATATTCTTCTGAAATTAAATTAAAATTAATAATAAAAACTAATAAATATAAAAGAAATAATAAATATCTAGTATTTAAGACAAAGTGTTACTTATAATACATTAATTAATGACGTAATGAAAAACATGAATCTATATTACCTTGGAGATCTCTAGGAAATAAGTAATTATCAGCGCATGCTGCAACTGTCATAGTTTCGCGTAGTTTAGCGCTAACTGACGAGGTTAAGCTATTGTACACTGTACACTTCACTCGCGCACGCGCATCTTTTCTCGCACTACAACTCACTTTACCCCGGTCAATTTACCCCAAATACATACTCAGTGGAAAATCGTTTATGTAATAATGTTTGAGTTATTTTATTTTAAAACGCATGCCCAAATATGTTTACAAGCTTTCTTTAAACACAAAGAAAACATGTTTGTGGTAAAATAGTATATTTATGACTCATTTATCCAAAAAGCTAATCTGACAAAAAAACCATTCGGAGGTACCTAAAACTTAATTCTTAATTTATTAAATGAATTTACATTGTTTAGTTACATTGTTACAAATTTAGTATAGTACAAGAAATTGTAAATCTATTCTATTTTCAAATAAATAATTAAAAAAGCTTACTTTACCCCAAGTCTCATTTTGTCCCGGTCTCCCCTACCTATACCTTCTCAAATTAAAATTCGAATACCCAAAAAATACTAGTTTTACGGTACAAAAAGCTTCTATTAGTGATTATTATAAAACATACGGAATGTTAGTAGTAACACTTTTATACTATTGGGTAGGATTAAACGAAATTGTGTTTGAAATTGATTAATCCTTCAGCCACTTCCATTTCATTTAATAGCAGATGGAATTCTGAATTCTCAACAAACACTGCCACCCGCGCTGCCACCGAAGAGTCCACGCCTGATTCCCGTTCCGCAGCGGCGCACCATTTCAGGGCCCCCGAGCAGTACCGGCGGAGATCAGCTGCAGACGAAATTACGCCGACTGTTGAATACCGATAGCAAGGAGAATGTCTTTTTCACGGACAGCCCGACGCAACCCGTCATGCAGCCGAATGGTGTCATCCTACAGGAGGAGAAATTCCGATACTCGCCTGGTAGCCTGTCGCCGAATTTCCGTGACGAGGATCGTGGAAAGGTGATACATTAATACCAGTGAGGTATATCATTAATCCTTAAATGGACTGCGGATATTTATGCCAACATATATTTTTATAATCTCGTCTCTGTTACGAGAACTAAAACCTAAGAAAACATTCAAATCCTTTTAATAACGAATTCCATTGAACTCAAATTATGACTCAAGACTTTCCTTCGAATTTTTTTTTATTGAACAAATTTTTGATCTTTGATTTAACGAACGATTGTATAATGTCGTAGAGATTTTTACAGGTACTTATCTTAACATTTTTTCAGATTTTTTGAAAGCCTAGAACAGTAAGAAAATGAAGCTTGGTCATAAACAACTCAGTTTGCTTATCAAGTGTGAAAAAAATATGTTTGCCTACGGAGGATTAAATTAATAATAACATTTGTAATTCTGTAGTCTGCTCATATATGTCCTCTATAAATGCATACAATCTGCGGTCTAATTATTAATATAAAATAGGGGGTGTATCGAAAAAATTAATTGGATTAATGTCTATATTTCGATAAATGCCATAAATGTTAAGATATTCATAACCAAAGAAGCCATATCTCAGGTCGAGTAGGAATTTAAGGTGAGAAAATATCATTGAAAAGAAGAATTGAGAACCAAGAGTATCGGTTAGTTATTATCAATTACTTACTGTAAAATTGGAAGATCTCTAGGATCGGTACTCAATTGTTTGATTAATAATTATTTATGTAATTCAGTTTATTGGTATATTCTTTTCCATGTTCATTAACCACTTGCGCTGGCAAACAATTCACAGATGCGTATAATTTTGACGTGTGTGGCACGTCATTCCAGCGCAAGAGTTTAAAAATGATTTTGACATTCGATTCGTTGTTCTTTGTCCTGTTACAATACTGTTGTCACTCTATCAAATACAATTCATCCACGTTCATCAGTGTACGTGATTGCACTCTCAGTCAGTGAATTGTAACTGTCGAAGAGACACAGAGAGGAAGCGTAGTTAGGAAACGGAAGTTGTATACATACATATACACGTGTTCGCGAGTCCAATACAGAAGTCGTAACATATTCCTTCACTGTATCAAATACGTGTTTAGCTTAATCGAAAGAATCCTCATGGAACTTAAAATCTCGTTTCCCCAAATTTTACTTACGAGTCGAAAATTAGACAGTGTCAAATATGTATGATGAAATATACAATACCTACAAACATACAGGGTGTTCGACAATTAGTGGGAAAAAATTTAAGGGGTGATTCTTTGAGGCAAAAAAAGACGAAAATCAAGAATAACGAAATTGCGAAAAATGCTTCGTTTGTTAGTTAAAGGCGTTTAAAAATTTACCCAAATCATGGCAATCCGCGCGCACGGAGTGTCAGCGGATCACAAGCTTATCAGGAGCGTACAGTCACTTTAAAGACTCAACGACGTGCAGGAAAAGTCGGTAGACCAGCTGTTTACTTACTCCGTAGAAGATGTCGATAACTTGTGCCCGCGGTATTTGAGTCGAATCCACCTGTATCGCATTAACACTGATTACTCGATAAAATTCGCAAGAAATGTAAATATCTTCTTACGAATATTATCGAGTAGAGAGGGTTAATGCCCCCTCTAGTTGTCACGTGTCACAATTGTCCTGTCCACGAGTATCCATGAAATTAATCCGCACACGCACGTACACCACAGAAGTCCGCAAAAAATGTCCACACACTGCGCGATTGTCCCGACCGCGAAAAATGTTCACACACTGCACGATTAAGTAGACCCGCGAGCTGTTCCTCCGTTGGGTTTAACACTCCATCTCTAATAGGTTACACAAAACTAACACTCAAAATAATTAATTTAAAACTATTTAACACTAACTTTTATACTAATTTTTAACACGCTATAATTAATAAAACTTACAATATTTAATAAAACCTGCAATAATGAATAAAACCTACAATATTTAATAAAACCTGCAATAATGAATAAAATCTACAATATTTAATAAAACTTGCAATAATTAATAAAATCTACAATACTTAATAAAACCTACAATAATTAATAAAACTTACAGTAATTAATTTGCACTATTTATAACGACGACATACGCGACACTACTAAATAATCACTACGTAATCGCTAAATAAACTAAAACTTAGTTTTCCGAACATGAACTCTATTTGCTCGTAGAGTACAAAGGGCACCGTTCGGAAAGGACGACTGATATTGTTGAACTGATCCTCCCTCGTTAGGATCGATGTGGCGTAAGAGGTCGATCCCCACTCTTTCATGGTCAATACTTTTTGGGAAGGAAAAACTGCATGGGAAAGTGTCTTGGAGGTCACGTTTCTTTTCGTATATTCTCAGAGCAACATCTGTATTTTTTTCTCATACACCACTCGGGGCCTCGAGGCTACTTGGCCACGATGCCGAGGGAGCGCGCGTCTGGACATTATAAAACTGCCTCTTGTCTTCTGCAGGACGACCACCCGCCGATTTCCTGTAACGTCTTACTGCCATCGACGAAGACCTTGCCTATTGTGTTTTCGGCCGTCCCTCTAGACATTAACTTGTAAAAAGAACTTTCAACCTCGAATTCCAATTCCATGTTAGAAATGGTTCATATTACACCGAATGTATGTGTTTAATAATTTTATTTGTTTTAGTTTCTTAGTTTCTTCATGCATCGTAATGAAGGTGCGGCAAATTTCATCTTAGTTTCATTCTAATATCATTATACGTTTTGTATGATCCATGTTAATTGCATATTATTTTTTTGCGGAAACAAGAACCTCAAACACTTGGAGTAAGATCGAAGTGGTAATAAAATGTGCAATGCACATAAAACATACAGTAAGTCAATATTTAATATTTCAGGAATAAAGATATTATCCTATCGAGCGAAGCTTCGAACGATAAGCAATTAACGCATGCACTCGTTTAAAAACATCGTTCGGCACCCCGCGACGGAGAACAAGCTCGTCCACACAGTCACCCCCTAAATGTAAAGTCATTCAGGTATGAATGACACAAGCCGCTTTCGGTTGACCGACGAAAGGCGGCTTGCTACCTGAAACGGAGCGCGCCGCTGTTTATTCCTGCAATATTGAATATGGACTTACTGTATGTTTTATGTGCATTGCACATTTTATTACCACTTCGATCTTACTCCAAGTGTTTGAGGTTCTTGTTTCCGCAAAAAAATAATATGCAATTAACATGGATCATAGAAAACGTATAATGATATTAGCATGAAACTAAGATGAAATTTGCCGCACCTTCACATTACGATGCATGAAGAAACTAAGAGACTAAAACAAATAAAATTATTAAACACATACATTCGGTGTAATATGAACCATTTCTAACATGGAATTGGAATTCGAAGTTGAAAGTTTTTTTTACAAGTTAATGTCTAGAGGGACGGCCGAAAACACAATAGGCAAGGTCTTCGTCGATGGCAGTAAGACGTTACAGGAAATCGGCGGGTGGTCGTCCTGCAGAAGACAAGAGGCAGTTTTATAATGTCCAGACGCGCGCTCCCTCGGCATCGTGGCCAAGTGGCCTCGAGGCCCCGAGTGGTGTATGAGAAAAAAATACAGATGTTGCTCTAAGAATATACGAAAAGAAACGCGACCTCCAAGACACTTTCCCATGCAGTTTTTCCTTCCCAAAAAGTATTGACCATGAAAGAGTGGGGATCGACCTATTACGCCACATCGATCCTAACGAGGGAGGATCAGTTCAACAATATCAGTCGTCCTTTCCGAACGGTGCCCTTTGCATTCTACGAGCAAATAGAGTTTATCTTCGGAAAACTAAGTTTTAGTTTATTTAGCGATTACGTAGTGATTATTTAGTAGTATCGCGTACGTCGTCGTTGTAAATAGTACAAATTAATTACTGTAAGTTTTATTAATTATTGTAGGTTTTATTAAATATTGTAGATTTTATTAATTATTGTAGGTTTTATTAAATATTGTTGATTTTATTAATTATTGCAAGTTATATTAAATACTGTAGATTTTATTCATTATTGCAGGTTTTATTGAATATTGTAAGTTTTATTAATTATAGCGTGTTAAAAATTAGTATAAAAGTTAGTGTTAAATAGTTTTAAATTAATTATTTTGAGTGTTAGTTTTGTGTAAACTATAGAATGTTAAACCCAACGGAGGAACAGCTCGCGGGTCTACTTAATCGCGCAGTGTGTGGACATTTTTCGCGGACTTCTGTTGTGTACGTGCGTGTGCGGATTAATTTCATGGATACTCGTGGACAGGACAATTGTGATACGTGACAACTAGAGGGGGCATTAACCCTCTCTACTCGATAATATTCGTAAGAAGATATTTACATTTCTTGCGAATTTTATCGAGTAATCAGTGTTAATGCGATACAGGTGGATTCGACTCAGATACCGCGGGCACAAGTTATCGACATCTTCTACGGAGTAAGTAAACAGCTGTTCTACCGACTTTTCCTGCATGTCGTTCAGTCTTTAAAGTGACTGTACTGCCCTGATGAGCCGTGATCCGCTGACACTCCGTGCGCGCGGATTGCCATGATTTGGGTAAATTTTTAAACGCTTATAACTGACAAACGAAGTATTTTTCGCAATTTTGTTATTCTTGATTTTCGTCTTATTCTACCTCAAAGAATCACCCCTTAAATTTTTTCCCACTAGTTGTCGAACACTCTGTAAAATATCTTCCTATTCATATGTATGTATTACGGTGGTTACGACCATTCAGATATGAAGTAAATCTAACGAAGCATTACGAAATTGTCGAAGATCTGAAGTAAATATTGTTCAGGTGATATTAAGGCATGATGGACAACGCTTATACTAATTTAAAGTAATAAAATTGGTCCCAAAAATATAATTTTCATGAAACATCATATTTTCTGCGTCCAAGCCAGGTGTCCTGATACTGATGGACATCAGTGTACCCTTAAATGTTCACTTACAATTCGATCTTAGATTCCTATTACTTGGATATTTTGAAATTGCTTCATAAATCTTACAATTTATTGATCCTTGTTTACTATACAATACATTTTATCTGTTATACATATTTCTAAGTTGGATGTTTTGTTCGCAGCACTGTCCGCAACAAGATGCTCGGTTCAAATTCGGCCGAAGCAACTCGCACTCGCACACTTCCGGTCGAACGGGAAGAAAATCCACCAGTTCGCAGTCGGTAGAGAACACGGTTTGCCATAAATCATTGCCTGACCTTCACACGAGTACTCGACGACGAGCGTCGCTGTCGCCGCGAGCATCGACGAATTCGACCAAGCCAACGGGGCACCATCAATCTTCGAACAATTGCCCGGATTGTGAAACTAGTTCAGACTATTCGGAACACAGTTTCAAGCGGGACTCTGTCTGTTACCGCAGGTATTCAACGAATTGTCGTGCTAACTGCCAGTGAATTATTATTGTAAACCGTGACAACTTACACAATGTACTCTTGGTGAAAACGATATAGTATGATCGTAAAGTACACAGCGCGGATAATAAGTTCCGAGGCTGATTTAATAAAATAATAAACACTCGTGCAAAAACTGTTATTTTTGTTTTTAATTCAACATAGTCACTACGTCTATCAGTAGACACAATAGAGTGTTCATAAAACCTTTATAATACTAATTTATCGAAAGCAATTTTATTTCCATCATCATCGTCTCTTGCCTCGTTTTTTATGTCATCAAACAGGTGGCATGCTTAACAACAAGAATATGAGTTAGCAACACTAGATGAACTTATTTTGATTATAGTCTGATCGAGAATCTAAATAAACTCTGAAAGTCCGAGAATACAACAAATTTAAAGCACACTTCAAATTATATTTAATAAAAGAATGCTTTCCAGTAGGTGTATCTAAAGTTATCTAAAGGATGTCGGAGTGTACTATATTTTTTACGGCATTGTCTATTTTCTAGAAATCCAAGTCTTACATGTAGAAATTTTGATAAGTAGCGTTTACATATTTCCGGTAGATGCAATCATGAGTAATGTGCGGTATGTTTTAGTTCCAGACATATTCGACGCTCTCTAGGTTCCGGTGGCGGTGATGCCAGTAGCGTGCTATCGTCTGGTGGCCGAACGCAGAAGTCCTCAGGCTCCAGTAAATTGAGTCACGGAGCAACTGCGAGAGATTCCGGTGGATCATCCGGACACTGTACTCACCGCAGTGAACCACCGCCAATAATACAAGTAAACTACAAATACAAATATATCTAGGTAATATATAACGGGAGCAAACCATGACTGTATAACGTTCTTCTCAGGATTGTTGGAGTCACATACGCCGTGACAGTGGTGCATCTACTCAGCATTCGACTGAAAAGGAGCGCTCGAGGAGAGGTAGTTATGCTAACGGTACACCTCCATCTGTTGTGAGACATTACAGTCCTGACACCGAAAGTAGCAACAGTCAAACGGATTATAGTCCGACGTGCAATTCGAGGTATGTATAAATATTGTATAACGATATTTTCCTGAAAATTCCCGAAAAACACAGAGACGTAACATGAAGATATTAAAATATACATATACTTTGTATACATAACAATTGTTCAAAATGACAATCTAATACGTGTATTAGATAGAGTGCATTATAATCTCTTATATTAAAGTTTTTTTTCTTGTCTGAACCCTCAGAAGGTGGAACGTTCTTCATGAGCGTGCAGAGTGCGGTGTCTGGGTCCAATTGATGTTCCATACATTTTGTTTTTAAATATATTTGCAACGTATCCGTTTAATAAGACCTGTCTTTTTTATATAAACTAGTCCTAGTTTAAAAGTGTTATTACAAGCTGTTGATACTGAAAGTTGTGATAAAATTGACCCAGACATCGGTGTCTGATAGTCAAAAGAGGAAGGTTTATAATATTGTGAAGGATGAAAGAAATATCCTTTAGTGCATTAAATTTCATTAGAGCGTAGTTAAGGAATAAACAAATAAAAATGTGTCAATTATTCTATTAGGTTTTCTGATGGCTGGAAAGAAGGCCGTGGTCGACCAATTCTGCGATCGAAGTCAGACATTAGTGATCGTTACTGGCGTCAGGATAACGGTCGATCAAACAAAGTACCTGCTCGTCCCCCTCGGTCAATAACTCAGCTCGAAAACTTCTTTGACCGTTTGGGTCTTGATTCGGATAATTATCAGCGCATCACGGAGCCAGACTCAAAGACATCGTCTCCTGTATTTTTTGATAGCGTTAGTTCCGTCGACTCGGCGTTAGGTCTTTATACGTGGGTTGGTAATAACCAAACAAACCAGAGTAGTCAATGGCAGAACAATAATTGTAGCGTTGGCATGGGCAACGACGATTGCAATCAGAGAGTTAACGATCCACCGAGTATCGTGGAACGAAACGCTCGAATCATCAAGTGGCTCTGTCAGTGTCGAAAAGTGCAGTTTGGCTATAGTTAAACAACGAGTGTTTACGAAGAGGACAATCGATTCTCCGGATCTGGGTAGTATGCATTCAAGTCAACGAATGTAGGGTTTTTCATCTTGCCAACGAGAGTTTTTATGCGTCGCAGGAAACTATGCCTTAAATTTTTATTTCACTAGTGAGAGTAGCAGCGTCGGAAACATTTTCTCCTTGCTTCTTTGAGTTGCTAAAACTGTAACGAGTAGCATTTCAATTTATGACATTCTAATTCCAGAAGAACATGTGCCATCTACTTTTACAACTTGTTATGAATTTCTATTGCGTCTTTAATATTAAATTGTCGCTAACAATTTCAGTATAAAGTTCATTGTTTTCTATCAAAATTTGTACATATAATTGGTGGACAGTGAAAACTGTTTCATATTTTCATATTATACAGTCATGTGAAATGGTTTCCTGTTTGAATAGTTTTGTTTCTAGCGAATAAATTTATTAGTGTATATTAGTTCTGTTAATGTTACAACGAGTTCATTAAGCATGAATTCTGTGCTCTCCGCATTTGCGGTTTATTGATCGTAAACAAATTATATGTATATATCAAAGAAACATTTTATTCCACTGTTTTACTTCAAGGCGATGGAGAAAAATTAAGCGGTATACTAGTTATTGCCAAATTTGGTAATTATAAATTGATATAGCGGAGATGCCCACAAATAAGTGACATTTGTGTTTTTTGGATTTCAAAACTTAATTTATTGAACCATACATTTCATAGTTACCTGAAATTGAATGCTGACTGAAAATGCGTTTTAACTTTTCTGGTTCAGTAGGAATTGACATGATAGTGTTGCAATTGAAATTGTATCGAAAGTCAAAAATTTGTCTAACAGTGAAAAAACAAATTTGTCTAATAGAGTTCTTATCGTAGTAGCATTAGTCCAATTTCATTAATGTTTCTCCTCTTTCTCAATGATTCTATTACCTTGTATTGAGCGGTATTTTAGAAATATGAACATTGCCGGTACAAAGCAGAATTAATGTGATTTACTGACTTTTAAAGAATTTTTCTGTGAGAGAATGTTTGCAAATGGAATTTGTATAAGGAATTTAAAAAAATTTTCATGTTGACGTTTTTATACCTTATAAATCTTGTTAAATCCAGTTGCGTTCAATTGTTATAAAATTACTTTGGATTTAATATGCGTATAAATTCGTATAATGAGGCCTTTAAGCCATTTGGAAAATTTGAAAAGTTCAACGTGAGATTAAATATCGAAAAAAGTTCTTATATTTTCGATATTTTATTCATTATAAATATCTACTTTGTGCCTAAAGAGTTAGAAAAATTTTATTTTAATACTAAATTTATTACGATTGTTTAATATATCTTTAAATATGTTTAATATTTAATTAACAAAAACAATTAGAATCTTTGTGTATTTTATAATATGTAACATCGTTTAAGTATTAAGGAGAAACTTAGATCAGTATATTTGGTATTGTAGGACATTTAAATTAAATACAATTGCGGAAACAATACAACATAGGGACGAAAGCTTGTAATTTATAAGAAAACGTATTATTCATTTACTGCTTAAAATGTTTCCTGATATATTTCAGCGTGCAATAATACAAATAATTCACTTAGGCGTTTCTTATTTTAGGTGATACTTACTAGATCATATACTCGATATATTTTACCTACTGTGTGGCAATCAATTATGGATACATTAATTACGACTTTGAATATTTATAATGGACAAATTGTTAATTATGTGATTCAGATATTTTAACAAAAAGGGAAAAAAGAATCTGTGTAATATAATGCAACAAGAAGTTACTCAACTACTCTCATTTCAAGTGATATAGATGTCTTAGATAAATAGTGAACTCACGTGGATTGTACATGGGACGTCGTAGTGCATTACAATTAAAGAAACAAAGAAGTGTTGAAAACGACTACTTATATAGTAAAACCTTGCATTTTTCAAGCAAATGTATAGTGATGCTTGCATTGAACACTAGATGTTTCTGTAGTTACGTAACCAGTATTTACGGTAACACTTACAGTTTTTTGATAGAACTATATAAAAGGTGTAACTAAAATTATGAGAACCACTCTGGCGGCCAATGGTAAAGTGTTATTGCACAAAATGAGCATAATATACATATATTTACGAGAAGCAATTTGCTTATAACTTTTTGAGCTGTGCACAGTTTCTCATGTGTGTATTTAAGAAAGAAATTTAATTGAATAAAAGTTTCCATCTCCAAAATTAAAATATTTACCTTGTAGAAAGAAAAAGTCCTTAGTAGATTTTTACTAGTGTTAATAATTTACATTTTGATGATTTCTTATAAACGGTTCAGTAATTACATTTGAAAGTATAGTTATAGTTTCAAAGTTTTATCGTAAGATTTAATGGTTATAATATTGAATGCTCTCAATGTTATTTTCAAAAAGTTTTAAGCAAAGCAACTGAAATAATATTCTGCGTTGCTTCTTGAGAGTACACGCACAAGGTGTGTTCTATTTCTACTCTAATAATATTTAATATTTAAAACCAAAAACTTTGTTGGAAATAACATTTATTTGAATATATTTCAAATTCACTTGAATATGAATTCTTCATTAGATGTTTAAAAACTACTTGTTACTCGTTATGGTAGAAATATACATTCCATTTGTTAAGCATGGTGTACCCGAATCTCAAGAAGTAAAACGAGATAGTGTAAGTTTTCCCTCTTATTATTACCTTCAATGTATTTGTTTTGCATTAATGACATTTATTAATGGAATTGAAGAAATTTGTAAATGATTAGACTGCATTTTGTTTTAGCTCATAGTTTATGTTTATGTGATTGATGTACTTGTACATTAGAATTCATTGTGTTGTCTTTATTATCTTATTGACTTGAGGCTTACACAATTTTACCATTCAATAGATCTGTTGAAACCTATTTTGTAATTTTAACTCCAAATGTACACTTGAAATAGAGAACTTATGTATAAATATGCATAATTTGTGATCTATACTATTTAACATTGTTAAAGTCATACATTTTTAATTGCTTTTTTTATAATCTAGTCAAGTAGATCAAAATATGTTAAATTTCAATTAAATATTATTAAATTCCTTCTGTGTATCGCTGATGCTTTTATTTTCCAACCCAATATTTTTCCTTCTCCTAAAAACATACATATTACATAATATTTCACATTTGCTCCTTCAGCTATAACTTTTAAGATGGTTGAAATATACACATAAGTAGAACAATGTAATCCCTTACAAAATACAGGGTGTCCCAAAAATGTCCTCCGACCCGGAAATGGGGCACTCGGGGGGTGAATTGGAACAACTTTTTCCTTAGCAACAATGTAATCTGAGGCTTCGTTACCGACATATTAACGAAAAACCGCGACCAATCAGAGCACGAGTTTGCCAGCCGAGTTCCCGCGCTAGAGGTGGCTACGAACTACGCTTGTACTACGAAGCTCCAAACAAGTAGATCAGCATGCATCGCAGGAAACTGCGTATAATAGCAAATAAAAAAGATGTAACAAATAAAATTATACTTTTTATCATCTGCTGTTTGTTATTTAAAGAGATTAATGAATGAAACGTAAATGTAGGCAAATTATGTGGAACGTAAAAAGACCAATGCACATTTACTTTTTTGTAAACTCCTTTTTACAAATTTGTAAATTGCCTTTTCAAATAACGTGTGAACGGAAAGGTAATGTAACAGAGAATGAACGAGAGGTGATCGTAATTCGGTATTGGTATAAAAATTCGTAGTTTAATAACGGTCAACAATGTTACTGATAATGAATAAGTTTCTTCAAAAAGCCCGAAGAAAAAGTTAGGTACAGAAACTTGCAGAATTATCGCCGAAAATAAGCCACAGCCTGCGTTAAATTAAGAAAATAATAATCAGCCATAAATTGATTAGAACTCACCCTTTCGGAAATTCACCTGCAGTTTGCAAACATATCCGTTATTCTGTACGTACCATCATAACATTGCGTAATACACCCGTGAACTGAACATGTCTGTCGCCCGATTGCTAACCGACTGACAGAATTTTTCCGAAAGAGCTTCCTCTACCCCCAAGTAGTTTCCTATCGTTACATTGTGAGTTCACTCACACCACGACAAGATTTAGGTAAAAAGAAACCAACGGTTCTAGGATAACACGTGCTTTGCAGAAGTGCAAGGAAAGTACCGTCGCACAGTCTCACCAACGCGCGTACCTCGTTAATTTATTGCCAGGGTACCTACTGCTTCGAGATAGGAAACAGACATCACGTGCATCGGCTTGAGAATGTCCGAAATAAAGAGGACCACCAATGTGTCTGTTGTTTCGAGTTGGAAACTACAATGTACATTGTTTTCCTCGAGGAGCAGGGAAAAACTTTTACCGACACGTATAAGTTGACGCTGCTTGGCCCTAGCCAACCACCTTCGGCCTAGAAAATCTTCGGCCTCGTAGCAACCGTGAACTCACAACAGAATTGACAATCGACAATTTTATTACAACTTTGTGAAATTGTAGTTCTCATGAAAACATTTCATACGTATTTTTTTTTTAGTATTCCGTCAAATATCTCGGAAATTATTAGAAATATAAAAATAAGCCTATCGGTAGGGTGATGCGGTTCATATTAACTGTTCCGTCGTAGACCGGAAACGACGGCTTTAGAATCTGACATTACCGTTATCTTTTATTATTTTATTTCCTTCGTTCAAGCAATCTCAATTAGTGGTGTATAAAGCTCGAGTCTTTGAAGCTACAAAGCTTAGCCTTAAAGACTGAGTCTTTAAGGCTACAATCATATGAAGCTCGAGGCTCAAGGCTCGAGCTCCAAGGCTCGAATCGTCGAGGCTTGAGGCTCGAGTTTCAAGGCTTTGAGTAGTCGAGGCTCGAGCCTCGAAGCTCGAGGCTTTTATGTTTAACACGTTCACTGCTGAGCGTGTTTCTGCTGGTTTTGTCTTCAGCGCCAAAGAGTGATTGCCCATTAGAATCATATAACAATATATTACACAATAT